CTAAATTCCTCCCCGGGACCAGCCATCCTGAAGGACACAGGGCAGTAATGAAAAGGGAGCACGAGGAATCCTCCACAAGTACATCTCCCGCAGGGGACTGCGTGTCATCTCAGAAGGTAGCTCACTCCCAGCGCTGGCTTGAGAGGTAACCCTGGGTAGAGCCCCTTTGGGGGATGCTTCCCATTTTGTCCAATCTGAACACTACCTTCCCGCCTTCTGCTTTTATCAGCAACCTGGCTGTAGTTTATGACTCAGTGCTGTAGGGACAGAATTCCCAGCGCTGCTGAACACTGCCTCCAGCCAGCGTCTGTTGGGGTGGGGTGAGGGTGTGCGGTGGGGAGTTATCATTTGACTGATACCACATTTTTTAACTGAAACCTAAGGCCTGGTGTATGTTATGTTTTTTAAAAAGGGGGAAAAGGACAAGATAATTTCCACATCGCTGGGGATGCAGCCTACATTGCCTAAGAGGTCTTGTGGGTGGTTCCTTTTAACAAGCAAGTCATTATGTGCTGGGGGATGAGGGCGCCGGGGTGGGAAAGTGGGAAAGGGAAGTCCCAGGGTGTTGCCTAATCACACATTGGCACCTTGGGAATACTTCCGGATGTGTGGGCTTCTGAAAAGTGAATGGGAATGCCACCATAAATCTGTCACCCACCCTCACACTGGTGTCACCAAACCCAGGGAAAACACTGGCCCAACTAAACAGTCGGGGACAAAAAATAATGAAGGGGAAGAAGAGAAAGGAAGGAAGAAGGGAGGGAGGAGAGAAGGAAGTCATCCATTTAGATGGTGGGAAGAGGAGTAGAGTAGAAAAAGCAGGGGGTCTCTACTCAGTCTGAGATGGGATCACACCTCTATGAGGCCTGTTACCTTGATCCAGTTAAGACATCATAATAGGTCTTAGATCCCTCATCTGGGTACGAGTCCTTTCACAGGCTCACACTAAAGAAAGGGGCCTGACACAGGACATACACCCCACCTAATGGGTGACAGTCAATGGTGGTTGTTGCTGCTACTCATCCCCTACCCCCACC